TTCTTGGTGCTCGCCCCCCCCACCTCCCAATCCTGTCTGTTAACGTTTCCTTTTCTCCTTAGGAATGAGGATCGTGAGCGCTGGAGGCCAACGCGAGACACCAAACTGGAGCCCATCCCAAACTGTGAATCTTGGTGAGTTCCCTGCGGCATGTACGGCATCCGTTCTGCGCCTGTACTGCCTACAGAAGCCCCATCACGGTGCAGCTGGCGATCTGTCCTGTCTTGACAATTTAATTCTCTCCCTTCTCCCTTTAGTATTACATTTTTGTACATTTGGATTTTTCCACTAAAATTTTTTCCACAACAGTGGTGCCTCACTTAACGGCGATAATCCGTTCCAGGAAAATTGCTGTTAAGTGAAAATGTCGTAAAGCAAAAATAAAAAGCCCATTAAAACTCATTGAGAACCGTTCAATGTGTTCCAGTGGGCTAAAAACTCACCATCCAGCAAAGATCCTCCATACGGTGGCCATTTTCAGTGTCTGTATAGCGAGGAATCCGTCCGTAAACACAGCAGGGAGCCATTTTAATTACCCGGCGGCCATTTTGAAACCACCAATCAGCTGTTAAAAAAACATCATTTTGCGAAGAATCGGTTCCCGAAGCAGGGACCCGATCATCACAAAGCAAAATTCCCCCATCGTTTTGTGATCACAAAAACGTCGTGAAACGGATTCGTCGTAATGCGGGGTAATCATAAAGCGGGGCACAGCAGTATTTAAGGCAATTCAGAAGCATCGTTGAAACAACAAAACTCTCCACAATTAGGAGACCATTTGTGCCATTCTCAAACTTTGTTTTCCCCTCGTTCTGGGCAAAGCTTTCCATGTATCACCTCACAGCATGTACATTTTGCATCAAGATCTATGTGACGTGACCTTCATAGTGTGCCTTGTTTTATGCACCATTGATGAAAGTGCATTTGTGTGGGTTTTAGAAGCAAAGAGACACTTTCGAACCTACGCATGTTGCTGAATGTTCATGTGCGTGTATGTGTTTGTACCGCAAAGTATCTCAATAGTTGCAGATGTACAGATTCCCAGAGGGTCCAGCCAGCGCATAAAATCCTTAAAAGTGCAGATCAAGCGTAACTTACTTATTTCATTATTCGTCGCGTTTATATCCCGACCGTCTAGCGCCGAGGCGCGACTCTGTAAACTATAAAGAGATGGCATGGGAGAACTGAGGTGCTAGCTTCGTATCACAGTCACCTCCACTGTAAAATTTTACAACCCATCTCTCCAAAGAAAGACACCCTATTTTCCAAGCTTCAGTAGACTTGAAAGGGGTTGCATGGCGAAATCTTAAAAATCGAAGGCTTATTTTGGGAGAAGGTAAGGTAGCGTGAGCCAGGGGAAACGAGAAAAGCTTTCCACTGATTTGACAACGAGGCTTCTTGATCCTGTGTTGCTCTTTCATTGCACTGCATGTGAAATTCAGATGTGGGGTGGGGTTAATGCAAATATGTGCATATTAAAAGGTTACTCGTTCTAGCTATAGCTTCCAGCCCTCCCTCTCCTCCACCAGAATGGCTGTTTTCTCTAACCTTGGATAATTTATATTTAACCTTCCTTGAACTGGCCAGGAAGTTAAGTCCAAGTGGCTTTTTTCCCATATAATAGCCCCAGTATTGTGGATTTGTCGTTTAATGAGGTAATCGTTAAGCGAGGCACCACTGTACTTTCATCACAAAGCATGCGTGTTGCTTCTGCACGTATTGGCAAACACCCAGCTCCCACGGATATCTTTCAGGAAAAGGCACAGGGCTCAGCAGACAACGCATGCATATGTGAAATGCATTATTAACTTTATTTTAGATGCCGTGCAGACTTTTACGTATTCGCATGGACCAAACTACCATGTTTCCCAAAAAATTAGACAGGGCCTTATATTAATTTTGCCTCCAAAAAACGCATTAGGGCTGATTTTCAGAGGATGTTTTATTTTTTCCATGTACAAGAATCTACATTTATTCAAATACAGTCATGTCATCTTCTTCTGGTTGCTGCATAAGGGTGGAGGGCAGGGTTTCACTTAACTGGGGCTTATTTTGGGGGTAGGGCTGATATGACGAGCATCCTGAAAAATCATACTAGGGCTTATTTTCAGGTTAGGTCTTATTTTTTGGGGAAACTGGGTATCTATTAGCATCTTTCTTTATTCATACCAGAGTGTTTCACAGTTTAAAATTATGGATGTATATAAAACATAGGTAAAATTAAAAACAAATTATAATTAATATAATTGGTTTGTTTTTGATCAGAAGTGGGCTACTTCAATAGAATTATCTCAGCCACTTGCTAGATCACATAGTGAGGCATAAATTGAATGGCATAAGTGCTGCATTGACCGGATTTCTTCCCAGTCACAGAAGGTTTGCCCTGTATCCAGGTGCATTTGCGTGCATGTGCATTACTCTTACTATGAACTTAGAAAAGTTACTTTTTTGGACTAGAGCTTTTCAGTATACCCCAGCCAGTGGGCTGCTAGTGGGCTGGAAGATTCTGGGTGCCAACAACCCCAAAAGTAACTTTTCCAAGCTTTCTCCTTCATCATTCTTTATGCTGAAAAAAATGCTCTGCTTGAAAAGATGTGCAAGGTTGAACTGTTTTGTGTACAAAATAAGAATAACAATAACAAAGCAATGTTAGTGTCCAGGGATCATTCTAGTTTGTTGCCCTGAACGTAGTACCTGGTTTGGCGTTTCCAACTGGAGAAACAGTAGATTTATTTTAAGACACCCCACGTAACCCAACCCTCCCCCCCCCCCAGGGATTGTGTATGAGGG